GTTGATATGTATTACTGTCATAATGAGAGAGCCCTGGAGGAAACCATAGCTGGTTTGTCAGTGGTAAAATGGGAGAAATATTTGGTATAAGAGTTTGTCTATGTTTTTCCATATTTTCCATGAATTTACCAAGGATGGATTAGATTTGGCTAAGATTGAAAGTTTTCATTCTCGATCTCAGAAAAAGTCTTGTATGGGAATTGGAGAAGTATAACTATTTTCAATTTGTAGCCAGGATTGTTTTAGATCACCTGTTAAGATCTTGGTTATTGTGGCAAGAGTAGAGGCTTCTAAGTATAATTTGAGGTTTGGGCAATTGAGTCTGCAATTGAAACCCCATTTTTTATGTGCCCAAATGAATTTATTAATTTTGGATTGCCATTTGTTGATTTCAGTTTGTCTGACTGGGATAGGTAGGACCTGAAATAAAAACAAAACTTTTGATACAATAAATGATTTAATTAACTGAATTATATCAGATCACGAAAAACCCATTGTATTCCAATTTTTAAGTTGTACCTGAATCTTTTTGAACAGAAACTCAAAATTGTTTGTATATAATTTAGAAAGCTCTCCTCCTCACAGCAAAGGGAGGTCTTTAAACTCATAAAAACTAAACTAAGGGAACTGGACTTCAGCAGTACACTTTGCAGAGCTCGGCGTACCTGCTCGGGTCTATCCCTTGGCCTTCCACCGCCGGTAGTGATCCCTACTTATTGTTACACTCTCAAAAGTCCAGTACTTCGTAGAGCCTTCACGTTGGCTAGATTGAATACGTTCCCGTCGAATATAGTCTCTGGCCACTTTCATGGCATCCCGTTCTCTGAACGGATATGCGATTGTAATCAAGGTAGGGTGGAGACGATGGATCATATATTGCTAGCTTGCCCCAACTGGAATATGGAGAGGAAGAGGTATATTATACCTATCTTGATAAAGGAAAATCTTCCTTCCCTTCCCTGGTCAATTTCTGTTCTCTTATCTGATCATGTTGATTCAGTTACCAAAGCTGTGGCCATGTTTCTGGCCCTGGTGGCAAACAAAAAAAGGGAAAAGAAGGGGAAAGTTCAAACCTTTCTGATTTGATTTGATGCTGTGTTTACCCGGCTTGAGGATTTATCTTGTCTGACGATTCCACCTAGTGTAATACATTCATATTGGGACAATGCACCCTACTGTTTATGATTGAGTATTGTTTTCTAACAAGTGCTGATGTTTTGTTTTTTTTGTTTTTCTGTATCAATGGTACTTTTATATGTGTGTATAAGTGTGCTTAAGACTTTTGGTCATGCAAGCCGAAATAAAATCATCATCATCATTTAGAAAGTTCAAAGGGGATATATACCCCTAAATGACACCAATTTTTAGTAATCCAATTAAATTAAAGTTCTTTTTAAGCATAGTTTTTACTTAGGTCAATTGCTTAGAGGTCTGATTTGGCTTGGTTGATATGTAAACCTGAAACATGGACAAATCCTTCTAAAGTGGATTGGAGTGCACGCAGGGATAAGATTAGATTTTTTAGGTATGAAACCATGTTGTCTGCATACATCCCAATTTTGTGGGTAGAGCGATTAATATAAATTCCTTCTATTTTAGGGTTATCAGAAATTAATTGGGCTAGTGGCTCAATTCCCACTGCAAAAAGCAGGTTTTGTATTTCAACACACCAGCACCTGCCAGGCTCCACTTCCTTAACCTCTGAAGTTCTGTTGTGCAAGTAGCTCTGCAGGCTGATGGAGGATTGAGTGCTCCTGCTGTTTGGAGGCACCAGATGTCACAGTGTTTAAGGTGAATTGGTTTGTGCCCCATAATTCACATGTGGAACATCTTGATAGAATCAAAATTTTCTCAGCAGTATCATATCATGCTGCTCCCACATAGAGATTATCATTGCTGCTGCAAATGCAAAGGTAACAGAGCATCCATACAGAGTTTTCCGTACATGTCTCTTATCAGCCCCCTGTGACCAGCATTCCAGCCCCCGCAAGAGGTTTTAAAAAACTGAGAATTGCTATATCATTATAACATTATAATGGTCTACTGCGATGATCTATTAGTTCCCTGCTTTCATTTTTAAAGGAGATCTCGTCTTTTTGTTGTGAAGTTACAGCACATTTCCTCTTATACCTCTGCAATACAAAGTGCTAAACTCTTTATTTTTAACTGAAAACTGGGAATTAGTAGATTGTGGGAATAGATGTGTAATGTTATAACACTACAGTGACCTAGCAATCCCCAAATTAAAAAAAAAAAGCGAGGAAAAAAATCTTTAGTGTGGGGGAGAGAAATGGTGGCCACAGGGGCTGACATAAGAAAAGTGGTACCATGGTTGGTGTGAACGGCAAAAATGCAAACATTATCAGGATAAACAGAGGACAAACCATGAGAACATTCCTCAAAACAGCACTGAGTTAACAAAGCCAAAGCAGAGCAAAAATATCCATGTGGAAACAGCCATGTGAATCAAAAGAAAGTTCTTCCCCCACATTAAAGCCCACCCATTAAAGCAAGGAAACCAAATCTACTGAGATGCTCTCCCTCCTCCTCCCACCTTCTGACATTCTTTAGCTGCAGTTTTTCTCCCTGAGCCCAATTTTTCCCTATCAGGCCTGATGCTAATCCCTATTCTGCTGTTCTCCTTAAACTAATAAAAGATTAGAGTGACATTTCAGAAAGGGCATCACATTAAGATGCAGCTTTCACCATCTCAACAGATCACACAGTGCACAACACCATCAGTGAGCAGGCCATTAATCTTATGGTAATGAGGCGTCATTCCAAATGGAGACCTCCTCCTTGATCAATATGAAGGGCACCGGAATAATGAGGACACTGATGCTTAGCGCCACGGGTAACTTTGCCAGGAAGGAGAGGATCCATAAAACTCTGTGCTATCAGAAATAGCCCCTTATCACTGTAGCATTCTGCTACCAACAATAGGGAGCAGGCACCCGGCTCTGATCTGTCACCTCATGTGTTGTCTGCAACTAATGAGCCTTCCCCAATGTTCTAATTAGTGACATAAAACTGCTGTAACAACTTGGCTTTGCTATAACATGGAATCAATTAGGATTAGCTGCAGAATAAAAGAGTCTGTTTCCATGCCTATCCCACCAAGCTATAATCACTAGTGAAAGTAAAGCACTTCCCCACCCCAATCTTCTCAACAGATAGACAGACTAGCTCAGACCTAATGATTGCCCTTTCTGTTCCAGTACAGAGCTCGCTGAAGTCAATGCACTGCCTAATTAGTCAATACCCCACCAGCATAAAAAGCAGCCTATCCAGTTTGCTTCTCCTCAGTGTACAATGCAGCCCCCTAAAAGGAACAGATGGCAGCTCCAGACTGAGATAATTACCCATCCGGCTTTGTTTCCTGAGTATTAAAAAACACTCACAGGAAGAACAGAGATTCTTTAAGCAGCTTCCTGTTTCTCTGTGCATAAAACCAGTCCTTTTAAGTTTACTGTGCATAGTCATGGTACCCATCATAAACAGGAGCTATTGGCCTGGTTCCCTCTGAGGCATCGGGAATCATCACAGCTTCAGGCAGGAGATTGGGTGCTAAGAAGCTGCCACTAATGCAGTTTTTGTATGTGTGTATCTGTGTGAGAGTGGTTGGGTTCTGCACATATTTGAGAGGCACCAGAGCACACAAGAGTTGCCCACAGTGAATGCATAAAATATGAACAAGACATGAGTACTTAAGCACCCGTGCCACAAATTTAAGAGCCCCATCAGGGCTTTGGCTCCCCAAAGCATGTTATATGCATGTCTAAGGACATGCATTTATTAATTAACCTTTACATGTGTTTGTTGTGGAAAATAAGGGTGTGCCTGTGGCCAGTAAAATTGATGTGTGAAGAAAGAAGCTGCTTTTAGAGTTTCATCACAAGTATTTGTGGTCAGAAAAGTATTATCCCTCCAGGCTAGAGTGGCTAATGACAGTTTTAACTTTCCATTGTGGGTGTAGAACAAAGCTGGAATCCAATGGTACCTTAAAGAACAACAACGTTTTATTCACGGTATAAGCTTTTGTGCGCAAGCACACTTTGTCAGATACAAAAGCTTATACTGTGAATAAAACTTTGTTGGTGCCACTAAATTCAAACTTTGTTTTGCTGCTTCAGATCAACATGGCTACCCCACCTGAATCTATCACTGTAGATGTGATGGGGCTTACCTGTACAGATAATGTAGCACTTTTTTTTTTTTTTTTTGCTTGGGGCATACTTGGTCTGAGGTTGATCTCTGGTGAATGCTGGGGATTTATCTATTAGTTGTCAGTTTCCTCTCTGCCCAAAGGTAAAATTGTTCTGCCTAGCACTGAGGGATTGAACTAGATGGACTCTGATTCTATACTTTAACATTTTCTTCACTATTAAAAAGATATTTGGATAAACATTAGTTTAAGGGTGCTCCATCCAGTCATTTTAACTAGAAATATGGTTTGGATCAAAATACGGTACTGGGAGAGAAGAAAAACAGAACAGGAAGTTTGCAGTACAGAGTAATAAAACGAGGATCTTTAGAAAGTAAGATAAAAATAAAAAGAGCATCTTAGCACCACTGCTTTTTCCTTCTTTTCCATACTTTCCCACAACCTAATAGGGAAAACTGGAAATGTGTGAAAATAAAAAAGCTGTTTTTTAACTTTTAAAAAGTGTTGTAAATTAATATCAAGCAATAGCACAAGGCAGCATAGATTTTATATAGTTGAACAACTGATCCCACTATATTTGTTTCCTTGGCATCGACTTAGGGGGATATGCTATATTAATTTATCAAGACAGAATGTGTTTAGGCTATTAGAAAAACACATTTTAAGTACTTGCAACAAAACTGCCCCCCCCCTCAACTCGCACACTCAAATTCTATGAGACAAAGAGGAAGAAAACAAGTTATACTAGAAACGTGATTTTACTTTCTTATTCAGAGTTTTGCTGCTTAATCCCTTGGGTGAATCCAGCCCAAAATATTTGAGTTAGAGGATTTACCTGTATATAGTTGTGGGAGGAGAAGTCAATGTGTCATAGATAAGCCTCACATGGCCTTGATACAACTCTAAAGCCAGAGGATCATTGTCTCCTTTATATAATACAATGCCATTGTCTTTATCTGTTGCTACCTGTGAACAAAAAAGTGAAAATGATTAATGGTGATACATTAAAAACAGGAGTGTACACAGAATATATTTCTGCACACTTAGAAAAAACTGTTATTGTATGTAATGTTACAAAAAAATGACACTGAAGCATTTCTTCCATTATCAGTGAAGTCAGTAAGTAAGCAGATAATGAACAATGTGTTATATTTGATGTGGCATCTACAGACAGTCCGTGGGCATCTCTGCGGACGAATTACAACTACTGCATTATTCTATGCAAGGTGTTGTTTCCCCACCACCACAAATGCTCATTGACACTTAAACAGAATGCACCCAATTTCTGTATCAGAAACAGAACTGGGAAAAGTCTATGCTAAGAGTGTGGTTAAAGCAGAGAGTGGTTAAAGCAGAGTTGGCTGAAACTTAATCCATTGAAGACAGAGGTCCTGTGCCTGGACCAGGGTGGGGTAGGGTTGGGGATCAGGCTTCCAGGGCACTGTTGGTGCCAGCCTCAAAGGTAGGAGCCTAGGGGTCATCCTGGATGCCTCCCTTAACATGGAGGCCCAGGTCACCACTGTTGCCAGATCTGCTTTTTTCCATCTTTGGCGGATCAGGCAACTGGTTCCCTACCTCTCAGTCTAGGATCTAGCTACTGTGACCCATGCAATAGTCACTTCTAGGCTCGATAACTGTAACTCACTCTATGTGGGCTTACCCATGAACCTGATCCAGAACCTCCAGCTGGTGCAAAATATGGTAGCTCGCCTACTTACTGCGATACCTTTGTGGCAAGCATTTGGCTGGTGTTCTTCCACTTGCACTGGCTATCTATTGAGTACTGGATCCAATTCAAGGTGATGGTTTTATCCTTTAAATCCTTAAGCAGCCTGGGACCTGGGATCTGAGGGACCACCTCTCCCCATATATCCTTCCAAGAGCCTTGCGCTCTGTTGAGCAACATCTGCTGGTTATCCCTGGCCCAAAGGTCATCCATCTAGCTTCAACCAGGGCCAGGGCCTTCTTGGTCCTGGCCCCCACCTGGTGGAACAAGCTCCCACTTGAGATCAGGGCCCTGCGGGACCTATTACACTTTTGCAGGGCCTGCAAAACAGCTGTTCTACTAGGCCTTTGGTTGAGGCGTTGGATATCCAATCACATGGCCTCCCCTGCAAAGTGTCCCTGAAAAGTGGTCCTAGTGAAAACTGCTATGATGGCCATCTATCCAGCTGATGCAGCCAACAGAAAATAGTTGCCATTTTAGTTAATTTTAGTAATTTTAAATTTACTGATTATACTGTAAGTGGAATTTTGTTGATTACATTGTAAAAGAAATCACAATGTTACCTGCTCTGAGCCTGCATGCGGGAATGGGCAGGATACAAATGCGACAAATAAATAAATAAATACTCCCTCAGTCAGAAGAGAGTGGAATGCTTTCACACACATGGAGCTCTGAATGTACATTAATACAATCCTAAACAAAATTATGCTTTTCTAAACCCATTGCATTTAGTGGACTTAGAAGAACTCTGCTCAGGATTCGACTGTAAAATAACTGGGTTGTAGCCAAGGACTGAATATGACATTCAAGCTTGTTTACTTGTTTTATACAACTCGCAAGTAACCCTTAGATATCCCATCAAATGGCTAACAAAGCTCGTCAAATAGCATATCTCCCCACCCAAGAAAAATAATTGTATTTAAGTCAGTTTCACTTCTCTGACAGCTTGAAGTGGCTTAGAAACATATTTAAAACCTAACATTGAACATTTCTAGACAAATGTATCAGTCAGAGAAGAAATAAAGAGATATGTGATCTGCAACATGCTTAGTTAGCAAGCAAGCAAACTACAGTAAGATGGCGTTTCCTTATGAGAAATGTAGGAGGAACATCTGTTTACCACTGAAAAAAGGTCTGCTTGACAGCAATAGGCCTCTTCATGGCTATTGTTGGAATGGTTCAGTCCATCCAATCACCTTTAAATTGCGATCAGTTACACTCAGAACCATTATAGCCCTTGTCCTTGCAGCTTCCATCACCCCTCCCTTATCTAATTAAGATCACTTTTTTTAAAAAAGGACCCCAAAATACAAATAGTGAGGTTGATACCAAGAGCAAATAATGGCTCAAATTATTGCTACAGTAAACAGAACAACAGAGATTTTTCAGGTTGTGAGATAAATTGCAATATGCAAAGGCAGAAAAGTCAAATATTTTTCATTTCAAATTAACTTCCTAGACTGTCAAACTGAAAATAACTTTTATTTGTTTATGAGCTCTTTTTATTAGGAGTGACTCCTTAATCCTGTTTTAAGAGACGCTTAGTTACAATTTTTTTTTACTTGAGTGGCAATTAACTACCAGATGGAGAAGCAATATTTTAACTGCAAAATAAGCTTTGAGAACACCATCTGTGTGACATCCATGTAGTAAACAAGTCTAGCTTTCATTTTATCATCCAAAATACACTTTTGTCATGAACCGTTTTTGAAATCAAGCTCTGCATTTGGCCTTTGCAACTGAATGTGCCACAGTCCATGGGTCACATGAAATATTTGCTTCTGTATGCAGGCAGAAACCAGAGAGTGTGACAGTGGCTTCACATATTGTTGAGACGTGCCAAAAATGTATTTTTGTGCTTCAAAAATACCATGTACAGAGAAAAACTGTGTAGAGTCCTAAACTGAATGTGTATCAGGAGCTTACGAAAGAAAGTATGTAGCAGGCAGATGTTAGAAAGGTGCTCCTTTTCATTAAGGATGAGAGTAGGGACTGCATAATGAGTGTACTAGCCCTTTACTTAAGCTCTTTGCAATTACATTTCTCAATAAATACACACTGTAGGGTTTAAAAGAACCCCAAAATATGTTTCCTGTAGAACCACTTTAAATTACTGCCTTGTTTGCATGCTTTACCTGGAGGGAGATGTTTGCTTGAGGGCGGAATTTGGCTGGTGGCAGTTCAACGTAGGAATCCTTCCCAACAAAATTGACAGTGATGAGTTTCTCACACTTCTGGCCAGCAAAGCCAGCCAGGCAACGACAGATTGGTTCCTGCTGTACTACAATGCACTGAGCTCCATTTTGGCACTCATAGTGGTCACAGGGGCTAGTCTGGAGCAGAACCATTGGTGGAGGGTTTTCACAGAATAGTCCACTTTAAAAACAAGAAAAAGAAAAATGTTATTCTACATTTGGTGGCATTACAAAGGAATGTACAGATATACGTTTGAAATCTGATTGTGATTTCCTGTTCTGGAAGGCATGGAAGTGACAAATACTTGGACAATTCTGAATTAATATTTCAACTCTCATATTGATTTTGAAGTGCTCCTATGAGCATGTACAGAAGGAGGTTCTGTGCCCGGGGGTGGTGTGTGACTCAGGATTGGGGAGCCAACTTCCAGCCCTTGATGGGGTGCCTCTAACACTGGCACCTACCATCAGGAGCTACTGAAGGGGGCAGCTACCGAAGGCTATTCAACCTACTTTGGCTTCTGAAGCCAAACAGATTTTTTGAAAAAGGTTTCACACTCCTTCAGGGTAAATCACTGTCCTCTCACAGTTAAGGAAGACTTAGCCCCTTTTTTCTAAAACCTGTTTTTTCTAAGGGTTTTCTGTTGTGTTGCTGAGTCATGAAAGACTGTCAATTGAAAGGTCTGCCATAGTTTTAAAGGTACTGCACTCTTTTCTCCTGGCTTCCTCCCCCCCCCCTTTCTACACAATGAGAAATGGGCTAATCAACAGCTAATCTTCCAGTTACTGCAGGTGCCACACAGAGGTGTTAAAATCTGTCTTGCAATTTATCTCTTAAGAGGGGAAAAACAGGTCCTCAAACTAAGCCAAACAGGGTGAGGGTGGTATTATGGAGGGAGAAGGAAACCCTTGACATTTACGCATGGGAAAAAACAAGTGTGTAGCAAAGTAAACTGTGTTAAGTCTGACAAGGAAATGCATGTATGTGAACACTAAGGCATCATGCATGGTCGGCCAGTTCTTCTATTACAGCTGCTAAATTCTGTTCTGAACTATGAGAAAGTTTTGTTATTTAGGTTATTGAAGGGCAATTATATTTTCTAATGTATCTTTAATCCAGTGAAGAAAACCCTCTCAGTGGAAGACACAGGTTCTGGCAGAGTAAATTAATGCAGCAGACAGCATAGAGCCTTCCAAAATGTGTAATGGGGAAGGGGGAGTGTCCTGAATGAAAATAAGGGTGCTCCATTTATGAAGTGTTGGAGGGTCTGGACAAACAGATGTTTATTACCTGTGAAGTTGTTCATGCCTGTTTCTACCTGAAAGTGAGATGGATTTATGAGAGATGTTAGACCTGACATAACCTTTGGCCTGAATGATGCAGGTGAAAGAGCCACAAGGCAAGACTGAGCCAATTTATGAGGAAGTAGCTTGAGACCAGATTTTTGAGTAACGTTGGTATTGTTTTGTTTTCCTGTATTGTTTCTCACTATTCTGATCTGAATGTTTTCCAGGGTATTTGCTTTCCCTAGGACATGACAATGATACTTCACTGAAGAATAAATATACAGTGAGGTGGGGGAGATGCGTGAAGAACTACTGTGACCTTTCCACAAGAGACTACTTGATTGTTCCAACTGTAAATAGTAAACTGAAACTGTATGCCCACTATACCAGCTGTGCTCACCCAATTTTCAAATACAGCAGGGCTGGCACATTAAGTAGGCAATGTGGCTAAGCCAAGAGGGAGGTTTGTTTGTTTGCTTGCTTGCTTGCAGAGAAACCCATCAACATACCTGCTGTTTGCCCCCAAGATCCTCATTACGACAGCTTTCCAAAACCAACCAACCCTTTTGCATTAGCATAACGAGCTCAGCACTACAGCGCTCTGATCATCTGGAGCCATTGCAGCTTGTGAATAAGTAATACACTGAAGGCCACTCCACAGAGCACAGAAGATGTAAAGCAAGCTTTGCTGTATCATACACCCTTTTCCCAAAGACATTCTACATGTCAGTTAAGATTTTTATTCTGGTCTTCACTGTTGTAGTGCAGTCTCTTTGGATAGATTTGGAGCAAAAAACTAGCCACTACAAATAAATGTATGATTTCAAAGAAATGCATAATTGTAGGTACTGAAATTATATATGAAGACCGTCTAATCTACTTTTGCACTGCTTCCATAACAGCAGATGTCAAAAATAACATCCATCAATCAGTCAATAAGAATTCCTAAGACAGCCTCCTTGACCAGAAGAACAATCTTTAGAAATATTTGTATTAAAGCAAGTCAACAGGAGAGAGCAGAAACAAAGACACAAACCAGGATGCCTGGTTTACACTAGCTTGGAGTTTTGAATACCCTCTTCCCTTCCTGCTGGGCCCTTATCCAAATCGCAGTTCTGCAGAGTATTTACTTCTTTAAGACTAATGGAGATCTGCAAATGGGCAAGATCAACAACTGCCTGTACTCATGTATTCTCTGTTGTTGTGCCCACCTTGTGGACTGGTGTTCCTGACATGGTAAGAGATTTATATTATAAAAATAAAAGGGCTATATTATCATAAAAGGTGCTTTTATGGGACTGGGAATCAAAGCACAGTTCATATTATGTATTATCTGTTTGCTGTATATATGATTTTGCTCTCACTCCATTATTTTATACTTATGTAATACCATTTTCTGCAATGTGTAACATATCATGCCTAATACTTTATGCTGTTTCAGATGTCTGTAATTCTAGCCCTATTACATTGTTTATTAGCTGTCTCAATCCTATTTGTTGCATTTACTTTCACTGTGTAATCCACTTTGAGTCCCAGTGAAAAAGGCAGACTATAAATACATAAATACATGTTTGTTTTGGAGCTCAAACTGGGAGCCAGTGTAGAGGGAACAAGACTGGAGTGATATGGTCTCTACAATCCTGGGGGAGTGAAAAGGGGGTGGCTGTGATGCTGCTGACTGGTAGGCTGCCTGTCGGGCAAGGGTGGTGGTGGATAGGGTTCCCCTCGGGAGTGCTATGGGTCCCCACTTGTTCCGTTTATTTGTTACTTAGTTTGTATTTAGTTTTCATTAATTCATTCTTCTCTTTTGTTCTGTTCATTTTATTGCTGTGATGTTTTATATGGGCTGATGGGTTTCTTTTAATGTTGGCTTCAATGTAATTTGCTTTTTCAATGCTGCTTTAAGATTCCTTGGCTGTCATTTTGGTATGGAAGTTTGATAAAATCTTCATTTTAAGAATCCATTGCCTATGTTGAAAATCACAGGCAATTTGGATTCACTCACTATAGGAGAAGAACTTGTAGAAGACATGATCCTTTCATCATGTACATTTTTAACATAAATTGTCACATTAGAGGCACCATACATTTTAATTCTGCCATCACTTATGAAAGTAATCCTTTGATCCTGTGTATAGTGACAGGCAAAGAAGTGTAGCTCTGTACGTGCTAGAGACAGGTTAGAATGAATTCTCTGGCTGACTAGAAATTTTTTAGTATGTCTTAATGCTCCTGTGGACTGACCTACCATTCTTCCACTGCAAAGCAAAGGCAAAATGCATTACTATTGTGATAAAGTCAAAATGCATTACTATTGCATTTTGCAGCCATACATCTTGCCTCATCTTGTAATCAGCCAAAATCTCCTTGTGTTTAAAGTCCACTTCAACACTTTTCTAGATTTATTACCAAACCACACCACAATAGCCTGTCAGTACTGCACAAATACACTCCATATGTCTGCAGGAAGGTTGCCTGTGAAGGGACTGTTCTCTTCTCATTGAAAACGAAGTACTATGTGGGGCGTGTTTCTTTGACTTTAGTGGCAGTCAGTGGTGTCCAATATTTTAACAAACGAGCACAAGAAATATTTTTCTCTAGATAGCAGAATCCCAGTACATCACTTAGGTTTATTCGTTTATTTGATTACGATTCTATTCTTCCCCCAAAGAATTCAGGTCAGCATTCAGGGTCCCTGCTCCCACTTTAGGACTCAAGTAGATGAAGCCAACAGGCTGGGTCAAGGTTACCCACTGAGCATCATGGCAAAGTGGGAATCTGAACTCAGGACTCCATGATCCTAATCACTCTAAATGCTGAAAAAAACCCCTGATATAATGTTACTGGAGGAAAGAGAGGTAAGGACTTGAGAACTGAGAAGTGTCAAAACACTGTGCCACATATCTGTAACTGATGCATCCTAAAGCACATTTAAATGAATTGGCTTTTGTGGTACAACTTCTCAGGAAAGTAGGTTTCTCAAATGCCTAACATAACTAATGAGCTTAATTAGAACTAGTGTCTGGCTTAATTCAACTATGTCCTTGATGCTTGCTGGGATCTTTCATCATTTTATTCTTAAATAAGATCCTGTAAAGACTACTCATCATCACCTTGTTCTATGCAGTAGGAATACCCCTTACAGAGGGAGCAGTGGCGCAGGCGGTAAGTGAAGCCTGCATTGACCTCACCGCGGCCGGGGTGAGCACCCGGCCCTATGTCCCAGCTCCCGCCCACCCAGTGGCTCGAAAGCCCGTTAAAGGGCAAATAGACAAATGGGTACCTGCTCTTAGAGCGGGGGGGTGTAGCGGCGGCGTGAACGGTGAGTGGCGGCGGCAGCGGAGAAACATGGTGGCGGCTGGCGAGGAAAAGCGAGTGAGACTAAAGAGGAGACACGTGCCAGAAGACCTGCGCCAGGAAGTTGCCGACGCCGGATTGAAATACCTCCCGCAGAAAGATTAAGAACAACAAAGACTTCGTCAGAGGGTGCCTGTTAGGCCAGTCACCCCCCCTTAATTGTATGTGTAGCCCTAGGCAGGATGTGTTGTATAATGTAAATGTAAACCGCTCAGAGCCCTCAGGGGGTGAGCAGTATACAAATAGAATGTAATAATAATAATAATAATACAAAAGGATCAATCCTGCAACAATTCAAGCACATGTCTGATAATGCTGTTCTTTACTGCTATTTCCCTTAATTCTTAAATGAAATGAGAAACTTTAAATAATTATAATAAATCATAAAAAGAAAATCTTTAAAATTAAACCAGTGGTTTCCTGAGAAGCAGTGAAGCAAAACAAACCCAATACCAATCCCGATTAAGTTCACTAATGCATTGGAAGAGCTGACTTTGTAAAAGCTCATTTTATAGAACCAGTAAAAATATCATTCCA